AGCCCCTCAATACAGTCTGATCTTAACAGTGAGCCCTTAATATAGTCTGATATTAACAGTGAGCCCTCAATATAGTCTGATATTAGCAGTGAGCGCCTCAATATAGTCTGATATTAACAGTGAGCCCTCAATACAGTCTGATATTAACAGTGACACCTCAATATAGTCTGATATTAACAGTGAGCCCCTCAATATAGTCTGATATTAACAGAGTGTCTGTGTTCGTTGGTCTGTATGTGGATGTGTGAATCTATGTTTTCATGTGTCTGTTGTTGTTGCGGACGGTGTTTAATATCTTCTCACTGTTTAGTGGCTCTGACTGTCTGATATTAACTGTGAGCACCGCTATATAGTCTGATGTGAACAGTGTATGTATGTGTATACCCGTGTTTCTGTGTGTGTGTGTGTGTGTCTGTTGCTGGTGTTCAGTGTTCGGTGTCTGTGAGCTGGTGTTTGGTGGCTGTGAGCTGGTGTTTGGTGGCTGTGAGCTGGTGTTTGGTGGCTGTGGCTGGTGGATGGTGGCTGTTCACGCAAGAGACTGTGTGCGATATAGTGCACTCAATAGAAAGTGCATGTGAGACAGACTGCGTGAGCGTGTGCACAAGCGCGAGACTGCGCGAGAGCATGCGCGCAAGAACGAGTACACACATGAGAGAACGTAAGCTCGAGAGAGTGTACGCGAGCGTACGCTGAAGAGAGAAATAATGCACGTGGAAGTTTGTGTGCAACAGAGGGAGCGAACGAGAAAGTTTTCACACAAGAGAGAGTGCTTCGAAGAGACAGGGACTGCACGAGATAGTGCGTGCGAGAGCGCCTGCAATAGGAAGTGCGCACCAGAGTGAGACTGCGTGAGTGTGTGCACGCAGGAGAGTGTGGACGTGAGAATGTGTGAGCTCAAGAGACTGTGTGAGAGAGTGTGAATGTGAGAGAGTGCGCACAGCAGAGTGTTCACGAGATAGTGTTCAGAAGAGTGGAGGCGAGAGTGTGCACGCGAGAGAGTGCGCCGAGGAGAGAGAGCCAGACTGCGCGAGACAGTGTGGGTGTGAGAGGGTTTCTGTGTGCGAGAGGGTTTGTGTGTGCGAGAGGGTTTGTGTGCGAGAGGGTTTGTGTGCGTGAGAGTTTTCTCTCGAGAGCTTGCGCACGATAGCATCCACATGATAGAAAATACGCCCGAGAGAGAGACTGTGTGAGACTGTGCACACGAGAGAGTGTTCGCACGAGTGGGTGCGCCTGAGAAAGTGTGCGCCGAATAGAGACTACGTAAGAGTGTGCAAGCGAGAGAGTGTGTACGCTGGAGTGTTTGCATGAGAGATTGCGCAAACAAGAGTGTGTGCGCACGAGAGAATGTATGCACTACAGAGTGCACACAACAGTGTGAGCTTGACAGTGTGAGCTCGAGTGCGATCCAAAGAGAGAAAGACAACGTGAGATGGTGCCTGCGAAAGAGAGTGCACACGAGACAGTGTGCTTGCGCGAGAGTATTCGCTAGAGAGTGTGTGCATGAGAGGGTGTGCGCTGAAGAGAGTGAGAGAGCACGTGAGAGTGTGCTTGCGAGAGAGTGTGTGCGCAAGCGTGTGTTTGCGTTAGAGAGTGCGCGTGAGAGAGAGTGTGAGCTCGAAAGAGCACGCGACCTAAGAGAGCAAGATTGCATGAAGGATGCGGAAGAGTGTGCGCGAGAGAGGATGTTCACGAAGAGAGTGCGTGAGAGAGAGTGCGCCGAAGAGAGAGAGAGTGATTTGCAAGAACGTGCCTGCGAGCGTGTGCATGCGAGAGAGTGTTCATGTGAGAGATTCTGCTCTATAGAGTGCGTGTGATAGAACGTCGCGCTACAGAGGGATTTTGCAAGATCGTGCACACGAGAGTGTGCGAGCAAGAGAGCGTTTGCACGAGATTCTTCTCGCGAGAGATTGCCCACGATAGAGTGCGTGTGACAGCAAGTGTGCATGAGAGTGAGACTGCGTGACAGAGGATGTGCAAGTGTGTGTGCGCAAGAGAATGTTCGCACGAGAGATTGCGTGCAACAGAGTGCGTGAAAGGAAGTGCACACGCGAGATAATTTTTGTGCGAAACTGGTGGTGAGAGAGAGTGAGTTCAGAAGTGTGTGCCCCGAAGAGAGAAATGCTTCCGTGAGAGAGAGAGAGTCCGTGCGAAAAAGTGTGCGAGCGAGAGCGTGAGCTCGAAAGAGTGTGCACCGGAGAGAGAAAAAATGCGCGAGAGAGTGTGCGCGCAAAAGAGTGTGGGCGCGAGACAATGTTCACGTGAGAAACAGCGCATGAGAGAGAGTACACCGAAGAGCGCGGACGGCGTGAGAGAACGCGCCAGAGAGTGTGCGCGCGAGACTGTGTCCGCGAAAGAAAGTGAGCGAGAGAGCGCGCGTGCGCTGAGGTGAGAGAGAATGCTCAAGAGTGTGCGCGGGAGAGAACGCGCTCCCCCGATGGAGTGCGTGCGATAGAAAGTGCGCACAATTGAGGCTGTAAGAGAGAGAGAGAGTGTGAGCTCGAGAGAGAGAGAGAGAGAGAGTGTGAGCTCGAGAGAGTGTGAGCTTGAGAGAGAGAGAGTGTGAGCTCGAGAGAGAGAGAGTGTGAGCTTGAGAGAGAGTGTGAGCTAGAGAGAGTGTGAGCTCGAGAGAGAGTGTGAGCTCGAGAGAGAGAGTGTGAGCTCGAGAGAGAGAGTGTGAGCTCGAGAGAGAGAGTGTGAGCTTGAGAGAGTGTGAGCTTGAGAGAGTGTGATCTCGAGAGAGAGAGAGAGTGTGAGCTCGAGAGAGAGTGTGAGCTTGAGAGAGAGAGTGTGAGCTCGAGAGAGTGTGAGCTCGAGAGAGAGAGAGTGTGAGCTCGAGAGAGAGTGTGATCTCGAGAGAGAGAGAGAGAGAGAGTGTGAGCTCGAGAGAGAGAGAGTGTGAGCTTGAGAGAGAGAGTGTGAGCTCGAGAGAGTGTGAGCTCGAGAGTGTGAGCTCGAGAGAGTGTGAGAGAGAGAGAGAGAGTGTGAGCTCGAGAGAGTGTGAGAGAGAGAGAGAGAGAGAGAGTGTGAGCTCAAGAGTGTGAGCTCGAGAGAGAGAGTGTGAGCTCGAGAGAGTGAGCTCGAGAGAGAGAGAGAGAGTGTGAGCTCGTAAAGAGTTGTGCTTTGAGGAAAGAAATGCTGCGCGGGAGAGTGTGTGTGCAAACAGATGTGCGGGCGAGACTGTCCGCGAAAGAGTGTGCGCGAGAGAGAGTGCGCCAAAGAGACCGAGACTGCGCGCGAGCATGTGCATGCGAGAGAGTGTTCACGCGACAGAGTGGGCGTGCGAGCGGGCGTGTGCACGATTAGAGTGTTCACGAGGGAGTGTGAGCTCGAAAGAGTTTTCACCGAAGAGAGAGAAGCTGCGAGACAGAGTACAGGCGAGAGAGTGTCACGTGAGGAAGACTCCGCACACTAGAGTGCGCACGATAGAGTGCGCACGATAGGAATTGCGTGCGTGAGAGATACTGCACGAGAGTGTGCGCGTGAGTGACTGATCGTGCGAGACTGACCATACGAGAGAGAGTGCACGCGAGAGTGTAAGCTTGAAAGAGTGTGCGCCGGAGAAAGACTGCATGAGAGAGAGAGCAGTGCGTGCAGAAGAGTTTGTATGCGAGAGTGTTCGCGCGAGAGATTGTGCGCAACACAGTGCACACGAGTGAGAGACTGCGCATGGTAGAGGTCGTGCGACAGCAAGTGTGCATGAGAGTGAGACTGCGTGAGAGCGTGCGCGCAAGAGTGTGTGGACGTGAGAGTGTGTGAGCTCGAGAGTGTGTGTCATAGCAAGTGTGCATGAGAGACTGCGCTAGAGCGAGCGCGAAAGAGAGTATACGGAGAAAATGTGAGCTCGAGAGAGAGTGACGCTTTTGTAAGTGCAAAAGAGTGTGCGCACGAGAGAGAGTGCGCCGAAGAGACAGAGACTGCGTGAGACAGTGCGTGCGAGAGATGTGGCGCGAGAGAGAAACTGTGCGAGGGTGTGCGCGCTAGAGAGAGTGCGCGGGAGAGCGCGGGAGCTCGAGGGAGTGTACGCTGAAAAGAGAAAGACTGCGTGGAAGAGCATGCACGAGACTGTGCACACGAAGAGCGAGAGCGTCGAACAGAGAGAGAGCGCGAGTGTGTGCACGTGGGAGAGGGTGCGTGTGACAGTGTGTTCGCGCGAGAGAGTCTTCACCAGAGCGATTGCATGTGAGAACGAGACTGGACGAGAATGTGCACGTGAGGGAGTGCGCAAAAAAATCGTGTTTTAATTGAGTTAAATTGCGTTAAAGATTGAGCGCTTTGACCATTTTTCCCCATAATGAAGCCGAGAATCGTTTTTTTTTCTTGAAACCAGTTGAAGATTTGCAGCCGTGCGCGTTCTTCAGTAACAATAATAATTCTGCAGTGCTGCAGATCAATTCTACCGATTATATTTTACTGTGATTTTGTGTAAGGAATCGCTTCACGATGACCTGGTCTTTCAAAAGACATTTGACAACGTGCCACAGCGAAGACTTTTACGAAAGACATACGCCCACGGTGTAAAAGGGACAGCGGCCGCATGGATCCGGGACGGGACGGGAGGCAGAGAGCAGAGAGTTGTGACGAACGGCTGCTTTTCTGACCGGAGGGACGTGTACAGTGGTGTCCCCCAGGGATCGGTATTAGGTATTAGCTTTTTTTTGGGGGGGGGGAAACAGAGAAAGACTGAGAAAGAGAGCGCGAGAGAGACTGAGAAAGGGAATACATTATAAAGTGTAGTGAATGTGCGTTTTGCGGGTGAGAGGGAGAGAGAGAGATAGAGAGACTGAGAAAGAGAAAGAGAGAGAGACTGACAGTGAGAGAAAGAGAGAGAGAGAGAGAGAGAGAGAGAAAAGAAAAGAGAGCCCGGGGGCAAGTGTATGTCAGGGTTGATGTGATAATAATAATAATAATAATCCTTGCATTTGATATAGCGCTTTTCACGTCGGGAGGACGTCCCAAAGCGCTTCACAGAACACACTGTAAAGTGAAGTGACTGTATATTTGTGGGCGGAACGCGGCAGCCGATGGCGCACAGCGACGTCCCCGCAGGCAGTCGTATGGATGGAAAGTGACTCCTGGGAGAGGAATTGGGATTAAAATGCGTGACAGTCGATCAGTGCAGCGTCCAGAATGTATTCCCCAGTGCGCAGACGGTGTGGACAGTCACCGCCTCAGTCAGCGTCACACCCACACTGTCAGCTCCGCTCTGAAGCCCCGCAGCGACTTCAGCTGCTTCTCTCCGTCCGAACTGAACCTGTTCCTCCCGAGCCTGGAACGCATCAAACAGGATATAAACTCGTGGGCATAACCACGCAAACTGTAAACCCTTCAAACTGTTTCCATCCCGATACCCAGCCCGTTCTCTGCGGGTTTTTAGCCCGTTGAACGCTGACGCGAGACACTCACCAGATCCCCTCCAGGCTGGCGCAGGTCTGTACGAGGCGGCGGAGAGCGCGGACCGAGCCGTCTGTGAAGGAGTTATCCCTCAGGTCGAGGAGCCTCAGTGAGCGGCTGGTACTGAGGGCGGAGACCAGATCATCGGTGCAGCCGTCGGTCAGGCTATTACCCCCCAACCTGGAGATCAGAGACACGGAGACATAACAGCAATCAGTGGAAACACATTAGTAATGTTATGACTGTTCCCAGCGTGCGGAGGGGAAGAGGGAGGGTGGGAGTGACGGAGGGAGGGTGGGAGGGAGGGAGAGTTGGAGTGTGGGAGTGTTACTTACCTCAGACTCTGTATCTTACACTCCGGGTTCCTCAGAGCCGCGCAGAGTCGCTTCACTCCCGAATCTTCCAGTTCGTTCTGACGCAGGTCCATCTCTGTCAGTGAGCGGTTCGTACTGAGAGCGGAGACGAGATCATCCATACAGTCCGCTGTCAGACTGTTATTCCAGAGCCTGAAGATCGGAGACACAGAGGCAACGGGGATCAGAGAAAACACAGAGGAAACGGAGGGATAAAGGGAGTGAGGGAGGGATGGAGACAGGATGGGAGGGAGGGAGCGGTTGAGGGAGGGAGGGGAGGAAGGGAGGGAGGGGAAGAAGGGATAAAGGGAGTGAGGGAAGGATGGACACAGGGTGGGAGGGAGGGAGCAGTTGAGGGAAGGAGAGAGGAAGGGAGGGAGGGAAGGAAGTGGGGGAAGGAGGGATAAATGGAGCGAGGGAGGGATGGAGACAGGGTGGGAGGGAGGGAGCGGTTGAGGGAGGGAGAGAGGAAGGGAGGGAGGGAAGTGGGGGGAGGGAGGAATGAAGGGAGTGAGGGTTTGATCCATGTTTAGATGGTGGTCACTGAGACGTCTGATGGCCTCACACTGTCACACCGGTTCCTGACACAATATTCAGCGCCAACTGATCAGAACAGTGTCAATAACACCCCGAGGTGATACGCGGGATTCAGCCTCGGGATATTACCCTCTCATGCAGTCTGTTACGTACCCCAGACTCTGTATCTTACACTCCGGGTTCCTCAGCGCCGCGCACAGTCGCTTCGCTCCCGAATCTCCCACATTATTGTGACTCAGGTGCAGCTCTGCCAGCGAGCGGTTTGTACTGAGAGCGGAGGCGAGATCCCGGGTGCAATCCGCCGTCAGCTTGTTGTCTTCCAGCCTGGAGATCGGAGACACAGGAAAATAACAGGGATCGTAGCCAACGGAGTCATCGTTACTTTACTCGGTGGTTACAGCGCCAACGAGAGACCCGGGTTTGATCCCCGGCAGAACATTGGGTAAGTTTATTCCTCCACCTATCGCTCGGGTTTCCATCTGGGAACCTCCCCGCCCGCCTGCGAATACTGTGTCTTACAGCGTTAACAGGAGCCGAGTGGGAACAATCTCTGATCCCAGTGATTTTCCTCTCAACATCCCGCCACTGCCACTGCAGTGTAGGGTTTAGCATCTCAGCATTATTATTCTCCCCACCTGCTCGACATACAATAATCTGTGTTTAGAGCCAGTGACTGACCCCCCAAGTCCGCAGTCTGTCACTTACACCAGTCTCTGTATTTTGCACTCCGGGTTCCTCAGAGCCTCACACAGTCGCTTCACTCCCGAATTTCTCAGTTTATTGCTCGTCAGCCTGGACACAGAGACAGAAACACCGGGAATATAGTGCAACAACACGATAACGCACCGACATCTACATACAGTCACCTTTCAGGCGCGGGGGTGGGGGGGGGGGGAAGTCCCAAGTCGCTGGGACGAGAGTCGGACACACCGGAACCTGCAAACGCTCGCGTTCACGGAGTCATAGAATCGGAGAATTGTACAGCACGGAAGGAGGCCATTCGATCCGTGGTGTCTGCGACGGATCTTTGGAAAGAGCTCATCCCCGCTTCCCGCTCTCTCACCATAGCTCTGATCACCCCCACTCTCCAGCTCTCTCTCTCTCCCCCTACATCACTGATCAGTACCACTCCCTCGCTTTCTCGCCCCATTCTAGGTCAAACCACGTCTCCCGCTCTCTCCCCATAGCCCTGATCAGCCGCACTCCCCCGCTCTCTCTCTCTCCCCGTATCCCTGATCACCCCACTCCCCCGCTCTCTCTCTCTCTCCCCGTATCCCTGATCACCCCACTCCCCCGCTCTCTCTCTCTCTCCCCATATCCTTGTTTAAACCCGGCTCTCCCTGCGCTCTCCCCATATCTCTGATCAATCCCACTGCGCCGTGTCCCGTATCCCCAGAAAACCGATCAACCCAACTTCCCGGCTCTCACTCACCCCATAGCCCTGATCAACCCTGTTTTTCCACTCTCCTTCTCCCCATAGGTCTGATCAACACCACTCCCACCACTCCCCCTCTCTCTCTCTCTCTCTCTCTCTCTCTCTCCCCTAAACCCTGATAAACCCCACTGGTCCGCGAGGCTGGACAATGAGGGTTTTGTACCAGAACTGGGGTTTGGGATCAGAGGGGGTTGGAGGGCAGGGGATAGGGGTGGGAGGGCGACACAATAGGAAGATTTGAGACGGCTTCAAAGGTGTTGAGGGAGGGAGGGAGCGAGGCTGAGGGTCTCCGCGGTGTGTGGGAGGTGGGGGCAGAGTGTCGAGTGACACCTTGAGTGTCTCAAGGTGCGGCCGTGAATAGCCGGGCCACAGGCTGTCAGAGTCACAGGCTGAGAGAGTGAGCGAGTCTGTAACCTGGTCAATAAGTCAGTAGCTTGAGGGAGTCTCCTCCTCCCAATGATGGACACCAGCTCCTGACTGTTGGGATCCCAGTGGGTGACGAGTGTAAGGGTGTAGGTGGGTATAAAGCTGTGAGGTGTCTGCCTCGAGGCCATTCACTCTCTGCCTTGAGGGAGGAAGCCCTGAGGCCTGGCCACATGGTGAGGGTAGGGCTGATGTGGAGGAAACTTTCCAGTGTATTTAGTGCTGGGCTGGTCAGGGTGATGTGAGCCCTGAGGACTGTGAGGAACAGAGTGGGGTAAGAGAGGACACCATCCCCGACTATGACCTGTCAGAGGCCGTGTTTTGTGTGTGTTTACGGCCACTGGAGGCCACTGAGGTTTTCCTCGTGTGATCACATCCCACACAGTCTGCTTACTTACTCCAGATTCTTTATTTTACACTCCGGGTTCCTCAGAGCCTCACACAGTCGCGTCGTTCCTGAATCTCCCAGATTATTGTGCCCCAGGCTGGACGCAGAGACAGAACACAGTGAAAATCGTGTAACGACACAATACAAACCGACATCTGTACACAGTCGCCTTTCACATGGGGAGCGAGTCCCACGGCACTGGGATCAGGTTCATTCACACCACAGGAGCATAGGAATTAGAAGCAGGAGTAGACGGTTCGGCCCCTCGATCCTGCCCCGCCATTCAATTAGTTCATGACTGATCTTCCAACTAACACTATCCGCCCGCTTTATTCCCATATCCCTTAATCCCCATATCCTTTAGAATCCTATCGATCTCAGTCTTGCACATATTCAAGGATGGAGCGTGTACAGCCTTCTGGAGTGGAGAATCCGATAAATTCACTACCAACCGAGCGAAGAAGTGTTTCCTCTACTCTGTTTGAAAGGGCTGTCCCTTAATATTAAGACTGTGACCCCCTAATTCTAGATTCTCGTACCAGGGGAAACATTCTCGCACTGTCTACTCTGTCAGACCCAATAATAATCTTAGATGGTTATATAGGATCACCCCTAATTCTTCTATTTTCTAGAGAATATAGTTCACCTAGCCTAGTTCACTCAACCTATTCTCATAGATCAACCCCACATCCCAGGAACTAACCTAGTGAATCTACTCTGCACCCCCTCTAAGGCGAGCATATCCTTTCTTAAATAAGGTACCAAAATTGCACACAATCCTCTAGGAGCGGTCTCACCAAAGCCCTATACCGTTGCAGCAAGACTTCCCTTCTCTTGTACTGTAATCCTTTTGCAATGAACGCCAACGTGGCATAAGCCTTCATAGTTGCTTGATGTACTTGCGCACTAACTTTTTGTAACTGGTGTTCAAGGACACCCAAAAATAGTTGAGGGCCAAACGTTGATCATTCTGGCACTGCACTGATCACCTCCCGCCAATCTGAAAAGGATCGGTTTATCCATAGTCTCTGTTTTCTTCCTGTTAGGCATTCTTCGATCCATGCTTCCTTCTTGCCTTTTATTCCATGGGCCCTCATCTGGTGTCGCAGCCTTTTATGTGGCACCTTGTGAAATGCGCTCTGAAAATATAAATAAACTCTATCTAACCTACTAGTTACATCCTCAAAAATCTCTAAAAGATTCGTTAAGCATGACTTCGCTTTTGTGAAGCCACGGTGACTCTGCCTATTCATGTTATGGTCATCTGAGTACCCCACTACGGTGTTCATAATGAAGGACACTTGAATTTTCGCTACCGCCGATGTCAGACTGACTGGTCTATAGTTCCCCGTCCTCTCTCCCACCCTTCTTGAATGGCGGTGTTAGGTTTGCGATCTTCCGGTCAATGGGAACCTTTCCCGAATCCAGGGGATTTTGGACGATCAAACACAAGACCTCCACTATCTCAGCAGCCGCCTTTTTTAATGCCCGAGGATCCAGGCCATCAGGTCCAGCGGATTTATCGTTTTTCAGTCCCGACAGTTCCACTGGTACTAATTGTTTACCGATATTAATTTCGCTAAGTTGCTCACTGACATGAGCTTATTGGTTCCCTTTTATGTTTGTTAAGATTTCCACATTTTTTAACGTGAAGACAGCAGCAACGTATTTGTTTAACGACTCTACTACATCTTTGTACTCCATTATAATTTCTCTTGTCTCCGCCTGTAATGGACCCACATTCACGTTGGCTTGTCCCTTCCTCTTTTTTGTGTTTGTAAAAACTCTTGCAGTCTGACTTGATGTTCCCAGTTTGTTTGCACTTATAATCCAGTTCTCTCCCTCCTAATCAATTCCTGAGTCATTCTTTGTTGGTCTCTGAAGCCCTCTCAATCCTCGGTTTACTATACTTTGGGACAGTATTGCAGGTCTCTTCTTTTAAGGGTATACTTTCTCTATCTTCTCCAGTTAGCCATCGTTGCGCCACTTTTCCAGTGGTATTTTTGTTCCTCGAGGGAATATATGATCAATGGGAATTATGTACTGTATCTGTAAAGGTTTGCCTTTGCTGGTCTACTGTCATATCCTTTAATTTAAGTCCCCAGTCTATTTTTTGCTAAATCATCTCTCGTACCCGCACAGTGGGCTCTATTTAAATTTATGACCCTTGCTTCTCGTTCAACTACATCATTCTCTAACTTAACGCTAAATTGCATCATGTTATGGTCACTCGGCCCCAGAGGAGCCTTAACTTCCAGAATCCTGATTAGCCCTATCTCATCGCCTGGAACAAAATCTAATAAAGTCTGTTTCCTGGTTGGCTCCTCGGCAAATTGATCTAGAAATCTATCTCTATTGCACTGTATAAACTCCTCCTCTAACTTACTTTTGCCAATTTGGGATAGGACTCGAACGTGCAAACACACACGTCGTTCCTAAGTCGTGGTTGATTCATAAAACAGCTGAGATTTATATGAGATTCATTTCGGCTAACGTCTCGAGCTTTACCGGGATGGGTTGGAAGGTTCGAGGGGCCCCCAATCTCTGTGGCAACAACAATAACAACACGTTGCTTTTTTAGCCCCTTTCACATCAGGAGAACGTCCCAAGGCTGGACAACGAGGGGTTTGCTCCCGTGCTGGGATGTGAGATCAGAGAGGATTGAAGGGCAGGGGATTGGGGTGGGATAGTGACTGAAGAGGAAGCTTTTCGGACGAGCTTTCAGGGGTTTTTAGGGAGCGGGCCAAGGCTGAGGGTCTCCGAGATGGAGTTCCAGAGGGTGGAGGCAGAGAGGCTGAAGATACTGCCGCTGATGGTGGAGCGGGCAGGGCGGGGGGGAACATGGAGCAGTTCAGTGACCGCTGAACGGTGGGAGTGCACAGGTTGGTAACGTTGGTAAACACCACGTTGTCTCTCTCACACCCCCCGGTGTTGCAGGTCCCCGGGTTGGCTCCTGCCCCCTCTAGGCCTCTCGCCTACTCTGGTTCCACCAGCTCAGGCCACACAGCTCTCACTCCCCCACTCAACAGCCAAGTCTCCTCCAGCCCGGGTGACTTAGCTACAGGCTTCCTGTGTCCTGTCCTCAGGTTCTCCCTGTGCTGCGTCCAGAGCAGAGAGACTCCCTTAACAGCCATATGTGACACAGTAAAGGGTGACCGACTCTCCCCCCCCCAACCAATACAACACAAAGACCCCCATAGCTGCCTCTGCACTGCTAGTCCTCAGGCTTTACAATCCGAGGGCCCAGTTCACGGCCTTGCCCACCGCCGGTATCCAGAACCCATTATAACAGTGTAAGTGACCTGGGTGTGAGGACAGGACAGTAGGACCAGCTGATGCCAAGGGCCGCTGTTCAGGCCGTGAGGAGCCGGGCCACAGGCTGTCAGAATCACAGGCCGAGCGAGTGAGCGAGTCTGTAACCTGGTCAATAAGTCAGTAGCTTGGGGGAGTCCCCTCCTCCCAATGATGGACATCAGCTACCGACTGTTGGGATCCCAGTGACGAGGGTGAGGCTGTAGTTGAGTGTAAAGCTGTGAGGTGTCTGCCTCCAGGCCATTCACTCTCTGCCTTGAGGGAGGAGGCCCTGAGGCCTGGCCACATGGTGATGGCGGGGCTGATGTGGAGAAATCTTTCCAGTTTATTTAGAGCTGGGCTGGTCGGGGTGATGTGAGCCCTCAGGACTGTGTGGCACATAGGGGGTAAAAGTGGATACCATCTCTGTCTACGACTTGTCAGAGGCCGTGTTGGGTGGGTGTTTATGGCCAATAGAGGCCACTGAGGTTTTCCCAAGTGATCACATTGCACAGTGTGTTACTTACTCCAGTCTCTGTATTTTACTCTCCGGTTTCGTCAGAGCCTCACACAGTGGAATCATTTCAGAAACTCCCAGTTTATTGTACCTCAGCCTAGACATAGAGACAGAAACTCAGTGAATATAGCGTAACAACACAACACAAACTATATACAGCCGCCTTTCACGTGGGGAGCAAGTCCCAAGTCGCTGGGACCAGGATCGACCCGCCCGAACTTGCAAACACCCACGTGATTCATGACTCGTGGCTGACCCACAAAAGCGTTGAGATTTATACGACATTCATGTCGGCTAATGCCTCAGAACTTTACAGAGTCGGGTTTGAAGATTTGAGCGTCTCCCAGCCCCTACGGCCGCAATATGTAATGGCATTTTTTGTGCCTTTCACGTTGGGACCATGTCCAAAGGCTGGACAGTGAGGGGTATGCACCCCGAGCTGGGGGTTGGGATAGGAGAGGATTAGAGGGATAGGGGTGGGAGGGTGACTGAAGAGGAAGCTTCTGAGATAGGCTTGGGATGAGGTAAGTGAGGGGTGGAGTTCCAGAGGGTGGGGGCTCAGAGGTTGAGGGTCTGACCAGCCCATGGGGAGGGTCTGCTGCCAGGAGGAGAGGCCACAGGAAGCCTCCGGCCTAATCACGTTGTTAAGGGGAGTGAGTCCTGGGGGTTTGCGCTGGGGCGAAGCTCCGAAAGTTGGAAGGGTTTGCATGTGTCAGAGACACGGAGGCCACGTAACCCTTTTCTGTATGAATAAACCAGAACCACTCACTACTTGACATCTCTGAGCGCAAACTACGTCCTGTCTGACCTGGGATCACGTTGCAATCTCGTCAATAGAGTGAGTATTCCAGTCGGGAATCGGGAACCAATCCCAATAAGGTCACCAATCTGGGAATGTCATCCAAGGGCTCAGGGTGTGGGGAAGCCAGACGTGTAAGGGGAATATCAGCCATTCACCTCCCAAACCCCCGGGGCAGGAATACGGTGTGTGACGACCCCCACAGTATTACCCACCGTTCCCTCCTGCTGTGCGATAGCATTCCCGCATTCATCAGCTGCTGATTAATGGCAGGAAAGTCCTGGAAAATGGCTTTGAAACAAGAAGACACTTACAGCAGCTGCTGACACTTGTGCAGAGCGGGAACCAGACGATGGAGACCCTCCTCCTGAATGTAGCATCTGGTCAGATCCAGTAGTTGTATTGTGTCACACAGTCCAATGGCCTGAGACACCACAACACAGTCTATCGGTGTCAACATCAATGCTTTCTTTGGAGAGCTACCACCAAATGTCAGTGTTTGTACAGAGCCCAGTGTGAGCTGTGCCAGGGCTTGATTCTGAGACTCAAACAAATAGTGGAGTGTGTTCAGCAGCTTCTGTTTCCCAGGGACGGTGTCTGTGTCTCGGATCTGAGCTTTCAACTTCTCTTTCAGCCAATCGATCACCGCGCAGGTTGTCTGATGGGCAAATGGCCCCAGGAACTCCTCCAGTGGCTGAGCTGCGCATGAGGAGGAGAGACCAGCCACAAAGCGCAGGAATATCTCAAACCGACCATCCTTCTCCCTGTCAGCACGGGCCAGACATCTCCTGATGGTTCTGGGATGTGGAGACAGGAAAGGAGTGAGTGCGGCTACAAACTCCTGGATGGTGAGGTGCGGGAATGCGTAGACCAGGCTGCGTTCTGAAGACTCTCTCTCCACAAGTTCCTTGAGAAAGCCAGAGAGGAACTGGAAAGGTTGGAGATCATATTTGATCAGATCTTCAGTATTAAAGATCATGTTTCTCTGGGAGACTCCAGTGAAGGCCATGTTACCAATCTTCAGCATTACATCACGGAGGTTTTCCATCTTTACACTGTGATTTGTTAGAATGTGATAAATATAATGGGAGAAGAGTTGTGTGACAGTCTTGGGAACTCGCTGTTTGTTGTTGTGTTTCAGTGCAAAGAAGGGACCCAGAGTCAGAGCGAGGATCCAGCAGTAGGAAGGGTTGTAGCACATGGTAAGAAGAAGCTCGTTCTCATCCACGTGGCTGTAAACAGCAGCCGCCACCCCCTGATCTTCAAAGAACTTGTGAAAATATTCCTTTCTCTCCTCACCCACAAATCCCAGGATTTCAGCCCAGACACTGACCTGAGCCTTTGCCAGTAAATGTAATGCCGTGGGGCGGCTGGTCACCAGCACTGAGCAGCCGGGCAGCAGCTTTTGCTGTACTAAACTGTACACAATGTCAGACACTTCAGAGCAGTATTCAGGGTCTGTGCACCTGCGCTGAGGCTCTGTGTCTCTCCGATCGTCACCGAAATCACTCGTTGCCCTGAATTCATCCAAACCATCAAATATAAAGAGCAATGTCTCTGGGTGTTTCCACAGCTCGTCCAGAACATCCCTGAGGTAAGGATACTGCTCCACGATCAGACGGCTCAGGGTTGTTCTGTCGTGAAATCTGTTTAGGTCTCGGAATTTGAAAACAAATACAAAGTGGAAGTGAGGATAGATTTTGCCTGTGGCCCAGTCATGGACAATCTTATGCACCAAGGTGGTTTTTCCAATCCCGGCCACTCCACTCACTACTGCGGAAGTCCCTGTGGGAGAGTCAGATCCGCTTCCCTGGGACGAAGGTGAATGGCTTCCTCTGGAGAAGCTGCTGTGGAACAACTTATCAATTTTGATTTTTTCCAGCTCTCTCCGGATTTGCTTCTGTCTCCATTCCTCGTGGTCTCTGCCTCTCGCCAGCAGCTCATGTTCTACCAGTTCCAGGTCACGGAGATCGGAAATGATTGTCAACTCCGTGAAGTGATCAACCAGCTGAAACGTCCTCACCTTCTTCTTCATCAGGATGGTCTTCATTTCCAGGCTTTCGCTCTGTCTCTGCGACCTCTCCTTGTGCAATCGCTGAGCGGCTTCGAGTCGAACATTAAATAATCACCAGGTAAGTACACAAGTTGCGGAGCATTATTAAACAATAATACATACTTTCGCTATGAGGCCCTTCAAGACAGGAGGACATCCCAAAGTGCTGCACAAGATTTTATGGAAAGTGCGGTGACTGTGTTTTTGGGGCAAACGCCGCAACAAATTCCCTCACAGCGATGTCCCACAAACAGCCGGGAATTGACTGGGCAAACTGATTTGAGGAATTGTTGGCCAGGAACGCGGGGAGAGAGAAACTCGCTTCTCTTTTCAAGTAGTGCCACGGGATCTTTACCATCCACCTGAAGAGGGCAGACAGGACCTAACGGGATTAATGTCCCAATGACGCCGTCTCTGACAGAGCTGCACATCCCAGCACTGAATTGGAAAGTCAACTCGCCCTGTTGACGTGAACTTCAACCCACAACCTCTGGCTCTGAGACAAGAGGAACAGCAACTGAGCCGAGCAAACAAGGGCAAACAATGTGAGTTGTACTCACACCCCTCCAGGTGTTCAGGACATTATATGCTGACTTGGAGAAGCCATCTCTAAGATCTTTCCAAAGCTATATTGGCTGAAATAATTGAGGAATCCATTAAGGTTCATCCCCCTCCATTCATTCTCCCCCTCCCACCCCTCCCTGCCTCCCACGCGTCCTCCTCTCTGACCTCTGAGCCCTCGTGGGCAGGGTCTGTAAATCACCAGAAAATGGTAAAGTGTCAAACGGTGTATTTCTGAAGTGAACGACTGGTTTGAATCTTGTTCACGACACGTACCTGTTAGACTGTTGGGGACGTGAGGCACAATTTGGCCATTGGTCACGACCTTAACTAGACTGGCGCCTGTGTGCATAGAGTGAATGGCATTAGTTTGAATGAACGGCATCTCAATGCAATCGCAGTAAAGTATGTCACTGACCACAGATGGGATCCCAGTGGAACCTCACACATTACCTTGCTCCTGGATTTCAGTCATGATTCTGTTCAGTTTGGGCAAAATTGTTCTCATCTCCTCGAATAATTCCCACATCACTCTCCGGGCTCGGGAATCTTTCTCCGTCACCAGGTTGAGCAGAAGTTTGGAGCTTCGTCTCTTTTGCCCAATGCGTGAGAGATCAGTGAGCGTCTGCAGAGATCAATCATTGATATATTCAGAGGGAACAAAGAGAAAACACTGATGATCAGTAAAACCCGGCTCCATTGATGGTTCATACCACATTTCCCAACTCTTTCCTCCACAAACTGCAGACTATCCAGACCTCTGCAGCTCGTGTCCACTCCCACGTCAAGCCCCGTGACCCTGTCATCCCCACCCATGCCCGGCTCCACTGGCTCCCCATCCCCCAGAGGATAGTGTTAAAAATCCTGGTCCTCACTAGCCTGACTCCATTCCTACCTTACAATCATTGTTCACTTGATCTCCTCAATCGGTTTCTTCTCCCGCCCCCCCCCCACCTGGTCACCTGTGATGTATCCCAGGGCTCCATCCTTGGCCCCCATACACATTGGCTCCCGTCAACGTCTTCTATTCTGTGGCTCTGACCTCCTGAACTGCCCCAGACTGACCCTCAGACTTACTGAACCGGTTCACAACCCAGACATTAGGTTCAACCCCCAGCTTTCCTTCATTTCCCACATCTGGTCACTGACCTGGACCGACTTCCTCAACCTCCGCCACATTGTTACCTCCGACTGTACCCCGACGGAGCCCAACTTATCCATGCGTTCGTCACCTCCCGACTCCAATAATCAAATGCCTCCTCAATGGTATCCCTGAGTCCACCAGCCACAACATCCAACTGATCCAAACCTCCTCCGCCGACATACTCACCCACACCAAACTCTGTACCCCATCACCCCAGCCCTCGCCAGGATCCACTAACTCCCTATCTCACATCCTAAACTCTGTACTCTATCACCCCAAACATCACCAGGCTCCACTGGCTCCCTATCACACACACAACTCTGTACCCCATTACTCCAGCTCTTGCCAGGCTTACCTGACTCCCTATCTCACACACTACACTCTGTACCACATCACCCCAGCCCTCGCCAGGCTCCACTGCTTCCCAATCACCGAATGGATTTAGTTCAAGATCCTCTCACTCGCTTTCAAATCCCTTTACGCCTCCAGTCACCTCCCGTATCCCTCTGCCAATGTCCAACGCTCTGAGACTGTACCTTGTGTGAGAGGCGCTATATACATGCAAGTTGTTGTTTGCTTCCTGTGCAGACATCTCTTACACTGCGATGCACTGGTCCACCACAAATATCTGGTGCATTTCCTGCATTGTAAACTAACTGGTTGGTTAGGCTGTTGACTTGCAGTTCTGTTGATTTAGTGACAGCAGCACATGAGCCGTACAGACAGGCACCGACTTGGGGAGATTTGAGCAAATGAAAGGGAAATGTTACGATTCGAATCAAACCTACTTTATGTTCGTGTGGGCTGAAACATTCCTTCTGTCTCAGCCTTGAACTTATGTCCTCTGTGCCTTCCTCGATGGCCTGTTCCAATCTGTCCCAGTAGAACTGTGTCAGTCTGTGCAGCTGGAGCTCATTGTACAAGGCCAGGGTCTCAGTGAATGAGGTGTTTGTACCTTCAGCAACTAATAAAAAACATTAGTCAGACATTATTATGGGTTAATTCCCCCGCCCCAACCGCCCTACCATCGGTGGCTGGGCCTTCAGCCTCTCAGCCCCGAGGCTCTGGAACTCCATCCCCCAGTGTCTTCGCCGCTTCCTCCCTTTCCTCCTTCAAGGCCGGTCTCAAGACCTTTCTCTTTGACCTTCAGCCTTCAGCTCCGCTCTCGACTCTCTACACCCTCCTCGCTCCCTCCCTTCCCTCCCCTCACCCTGACCATTTCCCCCCTCCTCGCTCCCTCCCTTCCCTCCCCTCACCCTGACCATTTCTCCCCTCCTCGCTCCTTCCCTTCCCTCCCCTCACCCTGACCATTTCCCCACTGCTCGGGTCCTGACCCAACTGTCCAGCACTTTGGGACGTCCTCCCGACGTGAAAGGCACTCTATAAATGGAATCTTGTTATTGTTGTTTATTCCCTGAAACATATTTCAGGAAATATTAACAAGTTTATGGTTTCAAAAGTCCAGAATAAACAAAACTCCATTGGTCTAAAACATCATTTAGTAGCTGGTCTCCGACACACAGATGTCAGTCTGGCTCAGTTGGTATCACTCTTGCTCCTGAGACAGAAGTTTGTGGGTTCAAGTCTCACATCAGGACTTTGACCTCATTGACCAACCTGACAATCCCTTCAGGAATCCCCTCTGGTTCTCTTGCCAATTTATCTTAAATCTGTGTCCCCAGGATACCGAACCCCCACCCGCCAGTGGCCACTGTTTCTCCCTCTCTGCTCTGTCAGAAGCCATCAGCATTTTCAATGCCGCTATTAAATGTATGAAGTTGACCGTATTCGTCTCAGAGTCAGGAGCTTGCGGATTCGAGCCCCACAGCAGGACTTGGATCTCATATCATCTAAGCTCTCCCACTGCAATGCAGGTCACTGCTGGGATACCCCACGCTGTTCAGCTGCCATCGTTCAGATTAGACTCTAAACCAAAGTTGCATTTAATGCTGCTTTGGTGAGTGTTAAAGCCGAGGGCGTTTTTCCCCGATGTCTTGGAAAACTGTTCACACACAACATTGGTCAACTCACTCCATGGCTGAGTGAGGGACGTTGTTCTGTAGATATTGTCACATTCACCCACACGACACGCAGTCACAGTCACTTCGGGATGTTTTCCTGACATGGAAGACCACAATAAGAATGATTATTATTACGTGATAAGGAGCTGCATCAAATCAAGGGCTATTAAAATTATTATTATTGTGTTTTTTTAAATTTGTTTATACCAATGACACGTAGAACATTCCCTGTGTCTGGAATGAAGCTGTATTCAGAGCTATGGCTCGCAGGTTGCTAAGAGCATCTTCTTGGGGTCCCGAGAGTGTCTGTTGTGGGTAACTGCGAGGGTTTCACAAGATAAACCCACACAGCTAATCCCACTGAAGCTCTCAAGTGCAAGTCTCCATTGCTTGTCCCATTAGGACCTGTCTACCAATAAGAGCTTTGGCTGCAGCGTTAAAAGCAGCTGATTTGAAAGCTTCCATTACCCCAGGAATGGTTTGTCACTGATTGACCTGCCCATGTGCCAGGCTGGTCTGTCACTGCCTGACCTGCCCATGTGCCAGGCTGGTCTGTCACTGCCTGACCTGCCCATGTGCCAGGCTGGTCTGTCACTGCCTGACCTGCCCATGTGCCAGGCTGGTCTGTCACTGCCTGACCTGCCCATGTGCCAGGCTTGTCTGGCACTGCCTGACCTGCCCATGTGCCAGGCTGGTTTGGCACTGCCTGACCTGCCCATGTGCCAGGCTGGTCTGTCAATGCCTGACCTGCCCATGTGCCAGGCTGGTCTGTCAATGCCTGACCTGCCCATGTGCCAGGCCTCTCTGTCACTGCCTGACCTGCCCAATGTTCCAGGATGGTCTGCCATCACCAGTGACTTGGTTCATGAAGCCGTGCAAAAAGCACCTGATCTTCCATTTCACAAATTGGGAGTTTGCTCGACCCAAACAGTCACTGGTTTCTCTCCCTGTTTCCAAGGCTAAGAATCACAGAATAGGATCTTACAATTATAAGGCACAGAAAGAGGCCATTCGGCCCATTGTGCCCGTTCCAGCTCTTGCAAGAGCTGTCCAAATGAATCCAACTCCCCCGCTCTCTCCGCATAGCCTCGCAATTTTATCCTCCGCAAATAGTGTGAGATGAAGTTAGGTGCGTTTGCGTGTAAAAATACTCAATAAACACATTTACCTTTGTCCGTTTTCATCTCATTGACACTTTCCTGAAAATCTGGTAAAGAGACGGCATTGGCTTTAGGTGGGTTGCCGGGTGCATGACCCACACCACCGCCCATTGCCCGACCCTCTGCACTGGGGTCTGGTTGAGTCTCCACGGAGGCCATCTCACTCGACCCACCCAAATAGTTCCAACATTTCTTCGGATCTGCAACCGTATCACCGTGTAGTTGGGTGAATCCAGATGCTGTCGCTGTTTCAGTCCCACCAGGTGGGGATCTGCTCAGTTGAGGTGAAGGCCACCATTTTGTTGACTTGTCAGGTTTGTCGAGTCTCGGGATTTTAGAGCCTTGTTTCCTCTTCTCCGACTGATTTCCCAAAACGTGCTTCATCGTTGCTAAGTGCAGTAAAGCTGTTGCTGAGTTTTCCGATGGAAGTTGAGTCTTATTTAAGTTTCTTGGAGAACAAATGTTAGACGGCTAACATGGAATCCAGATGTGATTTCTCAGGTAACAACACCAGGTTAGCACTGCCAATGCCCTGTCCTTCTTGCTCACCTGTGATATTTATCCTGCAATAAATTAAAATGTATGAACAACATCATGATAACTGTGATGCTCACAGTTGCGAAAAGTTATTAAAGAGACTAATGGAATATGATATGATAATAATAATAACATTAATAATATTAATAATAATAAAAATTATCCTTGCGTTTGATATAGCGCCTTATCACATCTTCGAGTCGTCTCAAATCGTTTCATAGAATATTCTGTAAAGTGAATTGACTGTATATTTGTGGGCGAAACGTCCTATAAACGTGGATTGATTCACCAATTTTTTTTTTTGCCATTTCATCCTCACTAATGCATTGCGGTCGTTTTCGACGGCAAAACCTGCAGTAAATGTGCTTCACAATTTTTTTTCTGTGAAGCGATGTGACTCTACGTCAAATCGAAGGACACTGTGGCTATTATGGGCTCAAACCATCTCCAGACCTCATTGCTCGGAACCCTTCTCGAAAACCAGTCGCCCTCGGTACCTCTCCTTTTTATCTTAGAAGACGTCCGAATGCAAAAAGAATCTGCGAACGTGTAATCGGCGAATGTTTTTACATTATAATGATCCTTGAATTGGTTACAGCGGTTATGCCTCAGACCGTTTCCAACGTGGATTCTGTGGGTGAATTTGACACCGTGTTTGCAGTCCGGAATTTCTCACCAACAGCCTTGAGAATCACTGTTCGACTCCTGAGGTGTACTCGACCAGGTTACCGGGATAGCGTCCCTTCTCTCTTCCATTACGTCCTGGGAAGTTTGATGCCCACTTAAGGACAGGAAGACAGGACACTTCCGGACCAGGCTGCCTGGATACTAACCTGCACAAAGCTCTGTAACCCCCACCCGTCATCACACCGGTGCTTGTCCGGCTGCACTGGCTCCCAACCACCGAACGTCTCGACTTGAAGACCCTCTCACTCGTCTTCGTATCCCTTCATGCCCTTCCAAAATGCGTCACTTTGCTTTTCCCCGCATTAAACTTCATCTGCCACGTCCCGAGGGCAAAGGGTCACGCATGAAATTGATCCATTTGTGATGAGAGAGACAGACAGAAGAGAAAGCCGGCGGGTGCACCCTCTCTCTTCGTCCCGGCGCACGGATAGAATCGCTGTCAACGGCTCGTTGGGACTTTTGCCGTTCGCCCCCACGAAACACAAAGGTAACTGCACATTCAGAGAAAGCTTTCGGACGTGCTTTGACATGTGTGAGAGTGAGACTTAATAATAATAATTAATGATATCATCAGCAAGTTTCCTTACACCAAACGTACGCCTCGTTTTACCAGGAAACGCGCTTGTTGGTTGATTGTCGTATCGCTCTCCGGAGTAATGTTCTGTTCAAAAGACAAACAATGATAATCGAGTCATTTAATCCACGACTGTTTATTGCTATCCGCCATTGTTTGCCACACTTTGCCCAAAAAATACAGTCAGTGCATGAATTTAACAGTATGAAGTGCTTTGAGACGTCTGAAGACAGGATAAGGCGCTGCGTCAAATGAAAGAATAATGATAATAACCCTCGCATTTGATATAGCGCTTTTCACGTCTTCTAGTCGTCTCACGGAATATTACGTAAAGTGAATTCACTACATACTTGCGGGCGAATTATTATTGTATTATTATTATATTAATACCTACGTGGGGATGAAGGTTATCCGTAACGTTCCTCACGTGAGAAAAAGAGAATTACTGAAAAGGGCAAAGTTTTCCATTCCTGCACGTGTTAGTTACAGTTTATTCCAACAGTACAGAGTGAACTCGTGCATTTACATTTCCGTTCCCGAGAGCAACACTGTGATCAACGCATAGATTAATAATCCTCTCCCGCGCTCCTCACCCCTCCCCTCTCCCCACATAGACAGTCCATACGTACGCTCCCTCTGGGCGATGCCATCCACGGACACGGGGTAAACTTCCGACATGTAGCGGATACACACAAATCTACGGGGTCTCCCCCAGTATCAACTCCAGGTCCGCTCCCGATATTCCGGCAGACGTAAAGGCGTGGAGGAAGTGTAGACTTCCTGCAGCTGAACATGGACAAGACTTTCCTTTTTGAACGTGCTCATTGCCGCCTTCCCCCCTGACCCCGGCTCGGAGTCAGGCCGCGGCGCTCTTTAAGCTCTCCCGAGGCGCCACCCTGCGCGGAGGGCGCTGCGTCAGTGCAAGTTGTCTTTGCCGTTGACCAACTCAGCGACTCCAGTCGCAATTCTCACCGGGGATAGTGACACATCCGGCCACGTCAGCACACCTCTGGTTATTCCTGACCACACCAGGACAACAGTGTAGAACTGTAAAATTCGCACTGTTATCCCTCCTATCCTCTCCTCTCCTCTCCTCAAGCCTTCACCACTGGCCCCTCCTGTACCTCTAACCTCCTTTGTCCCCTTTCCTCACACCGCAGCCATTCCCAGCTCGGATTCCACGTGAGACCGTCACAACGCCGGGAACGGTTGGCATCAAATTGCTTTCTTTATCAGTCCACGACGGTGGTGAAATCTCCAGAAGAGCGCATTCTGCTGGTGTTGACTCAGTAACAATAAAACTGCTGGCAATAAAACAATAAACGCAGAACATTCTGCTGGCGATAAACTGCTGAAATAACCGTTTAAGCCAGAAAATACACCCCGAGGTGATAGGCAATGAACCATTACGCAGACGATTCCGCTGGTAATGAACCACGTGCCTTTTGACACGACGGGGGAAGGTCACAACTCGAGTCGGGGAGGGGGGTCACACACTGGCTCCCATTCTCACTGCTATAGTCGACGGCAGTCACACACTCCTGGTGATGGCCTCACGTGAGCACAACAACTCGGGGACACAAAGGTACCTAAGTGCGTTAGGTACTGCAGGCGACGGTGGTAACACGGTTAGGAGAAAAAGGGGACAAACCGTCGTACTTGTGCCTTAACATATTCGCTGTACCTCAAAACAGTACCATTACTTTTTTATCTCACAGCAGCTTCTCTTGTTTGCTGTGAGCAGTACCCGCTCCCGGAACGCTTTCCTGCAGTAGCAGAATCTTTCAAGGCATTCCCGAACTTTCTTCTGCTTGGAAACAGCAAACCTCTGCCCACGTTCAAGGCACTAACGCAGTCGCTCCCGTGCGGCCTCTCCAGTACGGTCGGAAGGACAGTTGTCCAGTCTGCACGTTTATATGGTCTCTCTCTCTCTCTCCTGCCCGTGTGATTGCTGGTGTACCTTTAGGAACTTCCGAAGATGTGAAACTCTTTTCACGTTCGACGACATGCGCGTTCGCTCCTGGGTGCGATCGATGGCGTCTCTGCAGATGCCCTGCATGCACGCGCGAAGCTCATTCACGTTCGGCACCCGAACACAGCCGCAGCCGCCGCGTGCGTGCGCTGGTGACTCCGGAGGTTCCCCGATTGCGTGAAACTCTTCCCACATGCGGCGCACACGTACGGCCTCTCTCCTGTATGCGATCGATGATGTATCTGGAGAACCCCGGAGGTTGTGTAACTCTTTCCGCATTCGGCGCACTTGTAGGGTCTCTCTCCGCTGTGCGATCGCTCGTGTACCTTGAGGTTGCCTGACCGTGAGAAACGCTTTCCGCATTCGGCACATTCATACGGTTTCTCCCCGGTGTGCGATCGATGGTGTACCTGGAGATGCCCGGACGTTGTGAAACTCCGCCCACACTCATAGCATTTGTACGGCTTCTCTCCTGTGTGCAATCGCTTGTGTATCTGGAGGTCCCCCGAGCGTGTGAAACTCTGCCCGCATTCGGCACAACTGTACGGTTTCTCTCCTGTGTGCGATCGCTGGTGTATCTGGAGGTCCCCCGAATGCGTGTAACTCCGCCCGCACACGGCACACGCGTACGGTCTCTCCCCCGTGTGCGATCGCTGGTGTATCTGGAGATTCCCCGACTGGGTGAAACTCTGCCCACATTCGGCACATTTATACGGTCGCTCTCCTGTGTGCAACCGACAGTGTCTCTGCAGGTCACCCGAGGTTGTGAAACATATTCCACATTCGGCACATTTGTACGGCCTCTCTCCGGTGTGCGATCGGTGGTGTACCTGGAGCTGCCCTGACCGCGTGAAACTCTTTCCGCATTCGGCACATTTATAGGGTCTCTCTCCTGTGTGTGAGCGCTGGTGTCTCGTGAGGTCCCCTGATTTTGCGAAACTTATTCTGCATTCAGCGCAGCGATACGGCCTCTCTCCGGTGTGCGTTCGACGGTGTACCTGTAGGTGCTCCGAACGTGTGAAAGTCTTTCCGCACTCGGCACATTTGTAGGGTCTCTCTCCTGTGTGCGATCGCTGGTGCACTCTGAGGTTCCCGGACGTCGTGAAATTCTTTTCGCATTCGGTACACTGATACGGTCTCTCGGATAAGATCGATTGCTGGTGACTCTGTACAGGTCCTGTTTGAGCAAACCCCTTTTCCGCGACAGTATACGCGGGAGATCCCTGACGCACTCTCTGCTGGGAAGGAGAATTTAAGCTACGAGCAGGTCGTGCGGCTGACGCGTCTCGATGGTGTCCGCGATGTCTTCTGCTCTGTTTCCGACGGCACTCAGCGCGAGAAATCACAACGTTACAGTCGGGGAAAGGGCGAGACTCCGCACCATCCACTTTGGGAGCTGACGGGAGAAAACAAAGAGCTGCGTGAGCAACGGACGAGAGTTTTCTTCAGGAATTGCTGCTTTAGCAATTCTGAATTAATCCTGGCTTCCGTATAGTGCCCGATCGAGGCAAAACACTGTAAAGTGCTGCACAGTAATCAATGTTGAACGTTGCGGTCAACAATAACTTGAAAATAGGGCCCTTCACGCGAATCAGTTTCTGTCAGTGTCGGTTTTTGTCAGCAGCCACTTCCTCCAAACGGCCCGAGGTGAGAGGCCGAGCGATTCGTGCTATTGACGTCTGACGAGGACACCGGGAGAGACTTTTAATTTAACGTTGGGGATATGCCTCATCGTTGGATAATAAAATAATAATCCTTGCATTTGATATAGCGCTTTTCACATCGGGAGGCCGTCCAAATGCGCTTCACAGAACGCACTGTAAAGTGAATTGACTGTATATTTGCGGCGGCCAATTGAGCACAGCAATGTCCCACAAACAGTCGTGGATTGAAAATGACCGATTTATTATTGTTTTGGTTTTTTTTGGAGGGATTATTATTAGGGCTCTGTGTGGGGTAAGGAAACTTGCCCAAGGTTTGGTCCTGACCTGCCTGGGATTGAACTCAGGTCTCTCGCTTGCAAAGCGAGTGCTCTAACCACCGAGAGCTACAGGACTCCATATGCCATCCTTCAGATGAGATGTTAAATAAGCCTCACTCACTATCTGGGCCTGATCAGCCGAGACTGTATGTCTCTGTCAGATTATGTTTGCGGCGCTTAATATTTTCAAGGCCTTTCAATGGTCAGCCAGTTACTAAGGTGTGGTTATTTACTTGTACGGTTGTCAGCTTTGGACCGTTAGCTTAGGGGGGTTCTGTGAAATAGCAGAAATCAAAGATAATTTGGCTCGACCCGGTTCAGGGCGGTTTCTGATTCCATTCCTCGGAACTAAAAAATGGGATTAACGACAGAATAGGAAAACAGAGTCAGCAGTGGCAAAAAAAAAGGGACACATTTTTCTGCGCTCAATATTTCTGTGTAGCTTTTTGCAGGAAAAATAACCTGGTTCGGACGATTCAAAGTCTTGATTTTCACCAACTGAGACGCCTCCTCTTTTGACCAGACTGCTCTCTCCATTTGCTGAACCCGTGGCTGCAGTCATATCTCTTGCCTGGTCACCTCCGTTCTCAGCTGATCCCGACGGGATGAATGAGGTCCCCTTTTTGCTCTGAAATGCAGAACGTAAGAACATTACAAGCGTGCGTCAGTCCGCTCACTCTGGCCTGTGTCAGATGTTTGACCGTTCAAGCGACACGTTAGGACTTGGGAGCCACTTAGTCTAAGCTGACGCTGCCAATGTAGTGCTGGGGGGTGAGCTTCGCTGTTGGAGATGCTACGCTCCTGTTCAGTTCCCATTTACTCTCAAGGTGCAGCACTTCTTCCGAAGAGGAAGGGAAATCCACTTGGATGATCCCCGCGTGACAGGTTACTGCTATCATGATAGGTTGATCGGTTACATTAGACCTTTCCTCACTGAAGAAGAGATGTTCAACATGGGACCCAATAGAAGGGTCTACAATCATAAAATGGTTTGATAAGCTCAGCAAATGTGGGCTGAAATCCATAACCAGGGGACATGAATCGAACAGTCGCTATGGGATCTAAATGAGCTGTATTTCAGAGGAAGCGAGGCAGACACACGAGGAAAGAGGGAACAGAAGGGAGTAAGGAGTGGATGGAGAGTGGAGCACGGAGAGAGAGTGAAAATCGGCGTGGACTAACTGGGCGGGATGGCCCTTTTCCGTGCTGGGAATCAATGCAAAGCGCATTCAGCGTTTGGCTAATTACCTGCTCGGTTTCCTCCCTCGCTGCCTCCCTCTTCCTGGCTTCCATCCTGAACTTGAAGCGTTTCGCTTCTGAGGGTTGAACAAGAAAGTGCTGCTCATATCAAGGGCGTAAAAACCTCTATCCCGTAACAATACAACACTGCACTCCAAAAAGCCGCTGAAACCCGAGGCCAGGCCTTCGTCACCTCTCGGCTGAACTATTCAAATGCCCTCCTCGCCGGCCTCCCCTCCACTACCATCCATTAAACCCAGGTCCATACATATTCTGCCGCCCGTATTCTCACCCGCACCAAACTCCGCTCCCCGACCACCCCAGTTCTCGCCAGACAGCACTGGCTGTCTATCCCAGAGAGGATCGACTTCAAGATCCTCACCCTTGTCTTCTTGTCTTCAAATCCCTCCGCTCCTCTGCACCCCCTACCTCTCTGACCTCCTCGCTCCACCGGCTCTGGCCAATTCCTCATCCCCCCCCGAGTCCTCCGCTCCACCCTCGGCGGTCGTGCCTTGAGCCACTATGCCCCGAGGCTATGAAATTCCCTTCCTCACTCCCTTCGCTCGCTCCCTCTCTTCCTATTTTCAGGTCTTGGCTGAGGGGTGTGTGGTACTAATGTGGAATACGGTGCTAATGGGGTGTGTGGTACTAATGGGGTGTTTGGGGTATTACTGTGGTGCGTGGGATATTACTGGGGTATGGAGTATTAATGGGATGGCTTGGGTATTAATGGGGTGTGTGAAATTATTGGGATGTGTGGTATTAATGGGCTTTTTGGTATTAAAGGAGTGCAGTATTAATGAGATGTGTGGTATTATTGGGGAGAGAGGGGTAATATTTTGTGGTGTATGGAGTACTCTGATGGGGTATGTTTGCATATTAACGGAGTTTTTAATGGTGTGTTGGATATTAATGGGTTGTGTGGCATTAATGAGGTGTGGCGTATAAGTGTGGTGTCAATTGGGAGTGTGGTATTAATGAAGTGTGTAGTATTAATATGGTATGTGACATTAATGGGGTGTTTGGGATATTAATGGGGAACTTGGAGTATTAATGCGGTGTGTGGCATATCAATGGGGCATGGGGGGTATTGATGGAATATATCGGTATTAATTGTGTGTGGGATACTAAAGATTGTTAATGTGGTGTGAGTTATTGATGTGGAATGTGGTAATAATGAGATGTGCAGTATTAATGGGGTGTGCGGGGTATTAATTGGCTGTTGTGGTTATTAATGGGGTGTGGGGTATCAATGGGTTGTGGGTTATTAATGGTGTGGGGGGTTATTAATATGGTGTGGGTATTAATGTAATGTGAGGTATTAAAGAGTAGTGGGTTTAAATGGGATGCGTGATACTCATGAGGTTTGTGGAGTACTAATGGGTTGTGGGGTAACAATGGGATGTGGGCTATTAATGGTGAGTGGGCTATTAATTGAGTAGGTGTGGTATTAATTTAGTTTGTGGGATATTAATGGGGTTTGTGGTAATAATTGTGTGTTAACGCCATATATGGGGTATTAATAGGGTGAGGGTTTTAATAGGAAGTGGTGTATTAATGGAGGTGTGATATTAAAGCGGTGTGAGGTATTAATGGGGTGTGTTAGGTTTTAGTGGAGTATGTGGAATATCAATGGGATGTGCGATTTCAATGGGGTTTGGGGTATTAATGTGGTGTGGGGTGTTGATGTATTATGTGGTATGAATGGGTTGTGGGGTATTAATGGGGCGTGGAATATTAATAGGGTGTGGGTTATTAATGGGGTCAGGGATATCAATCGGGTCTGAGATATCAGTGGGGTTTGGGGGTATTAATAGGATGTGGAGTGTTGATGTGTTGTGTAGTATTAATGAGTTCTGGTGTATTAATGGGGCGTGTAATATTAATGGGGTGCGGGTTATTAATGGGGTGTATGCTATTAATGTGCATTTTGGTCATGGTGGTGTGGGGTGTGTGGTATTATTGGGGCGTTGGGTATTAATGGGGAGTGTTGTATCAATCGAGTGTGCGGCATTAATGGAATGTGTGGTGCAGATGGGGTTTTAATGAGTTTGTGTTGTATTAATGGGGTGTGTGGTGTACTATTGGGGTGTATCGGGTGTTACTAGGGTGTGGCTATGAATGGGGTGAGGGGCATTAATGGGGTGTGGTGTACTGAATGTGAGTGTGGTATTAAAAATGTGTTGGGTATCAATGGGGTGTGTGAGTATTAATGAGATGTGGGTTATTAATGGGGTTTGGAATATTATTGGGATGTGTATCAATGAAGTGTGTGGGGTATTAATGGGATCTATTTGCTATTAATGGGATGTAATAGGGTATCAATGGTGTGTACATTAATGATGTGATGGATATTAATGGGGTGAGGGGTATTAATGGGTTGATTTAGTTATTAATGGGGTGTGTGGGGTATTAATAATAGTAGCAATAATCCTTGCATTTGATATAGCGCTTTTCACGTCGGGAGGACGTCCCAAAGCGCTTCACAGAACACACTGTAAAGTTAATTGACTGTATATTTGTGGGCGAACGCGGCAGCCAATTGCGCACAGCAATGTCCCACAAACTGTCGTAGATTGAAAATGACCAATTTATTATTGTTTTTGGTTTTGGAGGGATTATTATTAGGCTCTGTGTGGAGTAAGGAAACTTGGCCGAGATTTCGCCCTCTGCCTGGAATTGGACTCAGGTCTCTCACTTGCAAAGCGAGTGCTCCAACCACTGAGCTACAGGACTCCACTAACCGGGTTGATATCAGTGCGATGTGGGGTATTAATGGGTTGTGGGGTATTAATGGGGCGTGTGGTGTTAATGGGGGTTTAATTTGGTTTGTGGGACAGTAATGGGATTTGTGGTATTAATGGGGCGTTAAATGAGTGTTAATAAATAATAATATAATCCTTGCATTTGATATAACGCTTTTCAAGCCTTCTCGACGTCTCAAAGCGCTTCACATATGCTGCAAAGTGAATTGACTGTATATTTGTGGGCGAACGCGGCAGCCAATTGCGCACAGCAATGACTGTCCCACAAACAGTGGTGGATAGAAAATGACAAATATATTATTTACTGATGTAGTATCAGTGGGTATTAATGGTTATTTATGGGGTATTTATGGGTGGGGTATTAATGGGGTGGGAGTCATTAAAGAGGTATGGGGTATTAATGAGATATGTGGGCTATTAATGGGCTCCGGGATATTAACATGGTGTGGGAATTATTTGGTTGTATGGGTATTAATGGGGTGGCGTGGGTTACTAACCCGGTGTGTGATATCAATGCAATGTGGGGTATTAATGGGTTGTGGGGTATTAATGGGGCGTGCGGTATTAATGGGGGTTTAATGGAGCATGTGGTGTATTATTGGGGTGTGTGATGTACTTATGGGGTGTCACTGGGGTATGGGGTATTAATAGAGTGTTGGCTATGAATGGGGTGAAGGATATTAATGGGATGTGTGTATTACGTGTGTGTGATATTAATGGGGTGTGTTGGTTATAGGTTGTGCGTTTATTAATGTGGTGTGGGTTACTAATGGGGTTTTCCATAGTACTGGGTTGTGTGGGCTATTAACGGAGTGTGGGATATCAATGGGCCACATGGGGTATTAATGGCAAGTGATGGGGTATCAAATGTGTGTGAAGTATTTATGATGTATTGGGTATTAATGGGGTGAGGGGTATTAATGGGTTGATTTAGGTATTAATGGTTTGTGGGGTAACAATGGGGTGAGTGGGGTGACAGGTTTGATGGTATATAATGGGATGTGGGGTATTAATTGTGTGTGTGTGATACTAAAGGGTTTATGGGATACATGATATTTATGTGTTGTGGGTTATTAATGTGGTGTGGAGTATTAATTGTATGAGGGGTATTATTGGGGTGTGGGGTATTAATGGGGTGCTTGGGATATTAATTGGGAGTGTTGGATTTTAATGGAGTGCATGCAGTATTAATGGGTTTTGTAGTATTAATGGGGTGCGTGGTATTAGCGGCGTGTGTGAGATATTATTTTGTGGTGTGTGGGTTTTGATGGGGTGTGTTTGAGAATTAATGAGGTGTATGAGTTTTTAACGGTGTGTGGGGTATAATGGGTTGTGGGGCATTACTGTGTACAGCAATGTGGGACAATAATGGGGTGTGGGTTATAAATGGGGTGTGGCCTTTTATTGTGGTATTAATGGGGTGTGTGGTAATAATGGGCTGTGTTGGGTATTAATGAGGTAGGGGCCAATTAATGGGGTGTGGGTATTAATGGAGTGTGGGGTATTAAAGAGTTGTGGTTTTAATGGGAAGTGCAATACTCATGGGGTTTGTGTAGTATTAATGTGCTGCATTGGTGAATTAGTGGGTTGTGGGATATTAATGGTATGCATGAGATATTAATTAATGAGGAAGGGGGTATTAATGGGGTGTGTTGCATCAATGGGGTGTGTGGCATGAACAAAATGTGTGGTATTAATGGCGTTTTAATGGAATAGTGAAGTATTTGGGGTATTAATGGGATGTAATGAGGTATTAATGGTGTGTGGAATATTAATGATGTGGTGGGTATTAATGGGGTTATGGGTATTACTGGATTGATTTCGTATTAATGGGGGTGTGGGGCATCACTGGGTTACTAATATGAGCTATTAATGGTATGTCGGGTATAAATTGGGTGCAGGGTATTATTGGTGTATTGAGTATTAATGGGGTGTGGAGTATTAATTGGGAGTGCGGTATTAATGAAGTGTGGGATAGTAATGGAATGTGGGGTATTAGTGGGTTGTGTGGCATTAATGGAGTGTGTCATATTAAAGGGGTTTGTAATTAATGGGATGTGTGGGGTATTCATTTATTGTGGGTTATTACTGGGTTGTGTGGGTATTAGTGGTTTGTATGAGGTGTTAAACTGATGTGCGGTATTAATAGGGTGTGGTGTATTAATTGGGTGTGGTGTATTAATTGGGTGTGGTGTATTAGTGGTGGGTTGGGTATCAATGGGGTGTGGGGGTCTCAATGTGGTATGGATTATTAATGGGATGTGCTTTTAATGGGGTGTGGGGTACTTATAGGGTGTGTCAGGTATTAGTTG